GGAGTAGCAGTAGGAGTAGCAGCAGTAGCAGCAGTAGTAGCAGTAGTAGCAGTAGCAGCAGTAGTAGCAGTAGTAGTCGTCGTCGTGGTGGTGGTGATGGTTGAACCATGAGGCTTCATCAGCTGCCGTGTGCGAACCCTAAACCCTAAAGCTCTAGACTCAGAGGCTTTATCGCCTGCCATTACTTGCCCCTAAATCCTCAACTCTAAAACTTGAAACTCCTGAGGCTTTATCGCCTGCCTTTTTCTGGCCACTATTGGTCTGAAGCGGGTGCAGATTGGACGCCTACTGGGCCCGGAGGAGAGTTACTTGGACGACTACGCGGCCGAGGCAATCGTTTTCGGAGTGCCACAAGGTTTCCTATGTATATTAAAGGACTATATATGCGGTTTTAGAGGCTTTTAACGGTTTATGGCGTGTTTATCCAGGTTGTGATATAAAGGTTATATGAGGGTTTGGTCAGAATTGAAGGGCTTATTAGGGCTTGAGAATGGTTGTTGGCAATGCTTCTAGGGTTGGTTTACAGGGAGTTATAGGTGCAAGATAGGGTTTTTTGAATAATAGTAACAACATAGTCCTTTTATACTTGTGCTAGCTCGAAGTGCACCAAATCTTCAAACAGGGAGGTTTAGGATCAAGAACTGGCAAGGACCTGTAGAGGAGAGAGATCAACACGGAGAGAAAGAGAGCCAGCGGCACCCTCCGGCTCCCAAGCCACGGGAGCATCACTGTGTGTTGACCTGCGATCTGCTTGTCGTATAGAAGCTTGTAGAATTGGTGCTACTATTCATGAGGGTACCTGGTTGTATGTCCAGCATAGGATTTTCCGGAGCCTTTTCCTGATTGGAATTACTAAAGCCCTATATTGGGCTGACACTGCCCTGGTGATAGAAGCAGGATTTGTGTCAGAACTTTGGGCTTGAGGGCTTCTGGGTCAATCAGCTCTGCGGAACCGAAAGGTCGAAGCCAGATTTGCAATTTGCTTCCATGCGCAAAAGGTCCCGGGCGCTTTGCTGCTTACTGAGTGTGCTTGCTGCCGTGATTATAAAGCGGAGCAACAGCACGTAGTAGTCGCCGTGGCATGTCCACCACCACGACGACGACGACGAC